CACACATACACATGGTCGCTGAGATGCGTTTTACTGTCACCAGCGGAGACATTGTTCTTTCATTTCAAGAGGGAGACGTTTACATGAAAACAAACAGAAGCAATTAGACGACTAAGAGATTGACATAGAGAGAGAAACATGCTGGCATGTATGGAGGCTTCATTTAGTAAGTGAGTATCTGACTGAGTGCATTTTAAGAAGCTCAGTTGGTTAAAGTATTTAGAAAATGTGACATTTTTCTTCTGTTTATTAAATATACCGTAACAGCTATGAGTTTTTACAGCATGTATATGTAGATAAAGGCAGAGTACAACCCAGTAATATTGCAAATGAGAACAAACGAAACAAAGTCACACTCTTGGCTTTGCTCTAATATCTAACAATCAAAGCTCACACTGCTTCAAATTTATCATTAAGAGTCTATTTAAACTTGAAATAGCACTGGATTAGAATTTAGTTGACAAAGGAAAAGAGCATTATACATCATTCCCTCCCTCTGCTGCATGATCATAGGACTTCAGGTAGGATTAAATGAAAATATACTCAATATCTGCTTTTAATTAAACCTAGAACTTGGTGTGGAAAACAGATATAATGAGGTTCATTCATGTTTCTCTTTTTTTTCCATTCCAAGGACATTACAGTGGTGTTAATGAGAGAAGGGAGACCTTTTTCACTCTTTCTTTACATATTTTATCCTTCTAATCAAGTGATTAAAGCAGGCTACATATAAAAGACAGACTTAGACTGACATCACCTACCCCGTCTTTAACTGATGACGTATGAACCCTGCTTCCAGGTCCAAACTGCTCTGTGTTTATTAAAGGTGTTGTGTTTTTAACGTTTTAATGTTTTGTATCTTGTTCTGTTACATCTGAACAAGCCCCTAAAAACAGTGATCACTGTCGGCCTCTTTCGGTTTTTATTACCACTGTTCATTTTGAAGCTCGGTTTTTAAAACCTTACGTGTAACTACAGCCCAGCCCATGCAGCAGTATATTAATGACTAACCTCATACTGTGGATGGATTATCTCAGTTGTTCTCCTGACTGAAGTTTTGTCCGTTTACAGCATCCTGCCATGAAATTGCATTTGTCCCTAACCGTTGGGAACCCTCACGTTAACTTTTATCAAGTGGAAAAAGGTTAACGTTCACCCTCCAGCTTCACTGTGTTTATGTTATTCTAACATAGCTGTGTCGCTAGTGATCACGTAGCAAATCATTATATACCAGCTAGCCAAACTTCAGTAACCCTACAAAAGTCACTGCTGTTTAGTTTTCTGTCTTCGTTTATGTTGGAAGTGATAGCAGAGCTGTACATTTAAAAATTTCAGAAATCTCTCAGTCAGAACATGGTATATTATGATAAACTAGTGAGCTAACTCCCTGCTAACTTCAAACTCTATTAAATTTAATAAATTCTTTTTTCGTGGCTGCCTGGATGTTAAAGTTAATTGTTACACCTGGTAAAGCAGCAATGCTGATCGTTTTATTAAAGATGAAAGACTTTAGACAGTTTGAAACTCTCAGTGATGCCACAGAGTTTGTTTGACTTTGGGACCTGAAGCGGAGTTTGGACCCAACACAGGCAGCTGTAGCCGTCTGCTGAAAGGAGTCAGTGAACTGGAGCTGAGCAGACACTGTGTTTGTGCTGTTGGCACTTTTTGGAGCATTTTAATGGCATTGCCTGAAAAATGATATGGGTTGCTGTTTGCTACAGTCTGTTTAACAAGTTTGTGTTTCATTTTTCGTGTTTGAAAATGTAATATTTTGTCAGTCTGTTATTTAGTACTAATTAGCAGGTAGTTGTTTCTGTGTTTTTACCCATATGCCAATGTTGAGGCTTCAAAATGCAGATTCACAAACCAACATTACAATGTCACAGTGGCAATACTCATTTTTTACATGTTTTACAGGGCTATGAGGCTTTAAACAAGGGACTTGTAATTAATATGGACCCAATAAATGTGGCAGGATTTGATTTAACACTATGTCAACCCAGCCTAAAAACTACAATCTACAATTACATCATTTTGGGTTTGATATTTTTAGATTAAGAGTCCCAGTCTCTGATTACAGTTCAGAACAAAAAGCTTGAAAGCTTGAAAAGAAAGCGACTCGAGTTTTTCTAGGTTTTGAAGCTCCATGAGACGTCTTCACATTCTTCAGCTCTTGGGTGGTCCGCTGGGGTTTATTATGTGTGAATATCCCTCAGTTGTTCCAGAACTGAAGAAGCACAAACAAAATAAAACAAACAAACAAAACAAACCCACTCTGAAAACATGTGGCGTGCTTTAAAACACAATGCAACCACATGCTTATTTATTTCCAATCAAAACTATAACTTTTTCTTAATTTTAAACAAGTGCTGTGAGTGCCAAAGCAAAATCGATATAAACGAACAGTGTGTCTGAGGTTGTTTTTCTTCCACAACAGGAAGAAATGCAATAATTTTATACCAAGCGATATATCTTATCGCTTTCCTGTTGTTCAACAAGGAAATGAGTGAGTTTTTAACACTACCAGATGTGAAGAAACTAGCAGGACATAATCAGGACCAAAGAGACATCCACACATTCTTGTAGGAGTGTAAATCAGCAACAATAACTGAAAACATCTGTGATGTAAATCAGGGTCTTTAAAACCCATCTGACTAAACCAAGTCTTTAATGCATTATTATTAGTAGTAGTATATGTAGTGTGAGAAAGACTGCTTGCTTTAGTGTTAGGAGCAGCAGTCTTATGGTCACTAATAATGGTGATATGTAGTCATTTCATACTCGCTGTAGGGTAGATGGTTGGTGTATTTCAGCTTCACTGAGCCATAATCCTGACCCACTCTTGTATTTATTTTGCTGTTAATATAATAACAATATATAAGACTGAGAACATCTGGCATCCCCAGAGGTATTTTGCTGCATTTACTGAATCATTAATCATGGACCGAGACTCTAAACAGAGCAAAATTCCTCGCTGCAAAACACTAAACACATATTAAAGATTCATTTTTTAAAATCAGAGACTATTGTTGCAATGAGAGTGTATTTGGTCTACAGCAACGTTTAGGTAATGGTTCTAAAGTTCTCCAATGATTCCAGCAGAACATTCCATCGTTAACCATACAGGGGTAGAATTATCTTATGATTTGTGGTGATAAAGTTTTTCATTCATTTAAAAGTGAATGATATCTTTTCCAAGAATCTTCATCATCTTAAAGATGTCAAAGAAGCTCCTTTAAGCAATTATTTTGGTGTTCCTCCACCTCCAAAGAAATGTCAGAAGGAGTCCGAACCACAAAAGAAGCGCATATTCTCAGAAAAGTGGTTGCAGGAGGTGAGCTGGCTTCAAACAAATGATGAACGCACAGAGATCTTGTGCAGAATATGCCGTGAAAATCCCACTCTAGCAGACAAAAGCAGTGTCTTTTATATGTCTGTGAAGGTTCTCAGTCATCCAGGTCATCGCAGTCAAAGGAGCTTGCAAAGAAAAGCGTCTGGACTTCTTTAAGTTGCTTAAAGACGTTTCACCTCTCATCCGAGAAGCTTCTTAAGTTCTAAGGTCAAGGCGTTCTGGGCATGCGGTACAGTGTAGCGAGGAATGCCCAGACCTCTACATGCATGGCACAACACAGAAGAGCCACCTCCACGGGACAAGACTCAGCAGTCCATCTGCATCTTAAGGATAAAGGTCACACTTTCGAGGATGCCAATGTTCACATTTTGGACAGAGAGGACAGATGGTTTGAAAGAGGAGCGAAAGAAGCCATCTATGTCCACTGTGAGCGACCATCTTTGAACAGAGGCGGTGGTTTACGACACCAACTGTCTGCCATCTATAATCCAGTTTTGAGTTCCCTCCCCAGACGCCTTAACGCCCACTCACATCCTGGGCCATCTGACCTCAGGAAATCACATGATTAGGTGGGGCCAGGTTTCACAATGAACATACCTGAAACTCTGGCTGATTGGGACCCACGCCCAGTTTCACACCTTGGCTCATGTGATTAGAGGATCATCAGGGGGTCCTTTTGTCCCTCTTTAGGGGGATACTCCCACTAGGTTTCAATCTGGGACTCCCCACCATTTGACCTTAGAACTGAAGAAGCTTCTCGGATGAGAGGTGAAACGTAACTTAAAGAAGTCCAGGCGCTTTTCTTTGCAAGCTCCTTTGACAGTGCCTTTTATATGTACGCAAACGCGCGTTGAAACTTCTTATCTGGTGCACGTCTTTTATTTTGACAGCACATGCGCACCTGCGGACCACTTATGTGCACTCCTGTTTATTAATCATAAAAGATTACTGACAGTTATGCCTCACAGGCCAAGAACCTATTGAACACCCTCCAGCAATCTCCAGTCAATATGAAAATGTGTTCCTCAACTGGCTGGTGGCTGTTGGATGATACTGGCTGTGGCTGGGTAAAAAAAAATAGGTGCTAAATTAAAAGCCATCTTGTAACTGCTTTGGCTGCGTTACTTTGAAGAGAAACGGTCTGGGATTGCTTTTTTTTTTTTACCTCTCACTATCGCTGGGTGAGGAGGTAGCGAGTGCTTGCAGACAGTGTCAGCATCTTCCATGTAATCTGCTTATGACCACAGTCATTGCAAGGAGGTTTCAAGTTCGGCGCCATTAACTTCTTTGCAATGAATTTCACCTAGTGACCGCCAGCAATCTCCAGCCATCACTCAGCAACCACCAGGTGACTATATTTTCCTTAAACTTCATAAAACTGGTATAAAATGTGCAAAATATATAAAACAGTGTAAGTTTACAGCATCTAATCCTATAGCTGTATGATATTCTCATTCATGTTATTGTTATTTATGTTTTTTTGTGTGTTATTGTTTTCCATCTTCCTCTAAAACAGCTCCCAGAACATCAGCTGAGTGTTTCAGTCGCTTTCATATCTGGCGTGCCCCTAAGCAGGTCAGTTTTTAAAGTTTTTAAATTTAAATCTATTTTAATACATAATGGATGTAAAAAAGTCAACAGCCATTACCTTGGTCTGTCCTTCAATGACAGTGAGAGGCACACTGGTGGAGGGCCACTTGTTTCTAGGAGGTAAAGGCTTGTCGCAGTTCCATAAAACCACAATCTGTGTGGGGAAAGAACATGGTGTCCATTAATATTATACAAGCCCAAACATTGTTGTGAATAGGCTTCTCCACAGAAGGTTTTGAATGAGCTGATATTCCTCATAATGAAATGTCCATCCTATTTTTCAAGAAGCAAAGACCAGCCAGGGTCTTCTGCTTTACAGAGAACCCTCGCTAAAGAATACCTTATTATCAGAGTGAGTACATATATAATCTTTAGTGCCAGAATACAAAAAATGTTCTTTTTCCATTAGCCTGTGAGTGCGTGAACTGTGTTAGTCATCACCGAGTTTGTTTCAAAAGCTATTGCACTTTCCGTATATTTACATGTACATGAATATTTATAGTAAAGCTTAATTCAACATATTTCATAAAAAAAAATCCACATTATATAAGAGACTGCTTATGCAACAGACCTTTAGTCCTCAGGTATTACTCTAGTGCCTTTTTCTAGTACTTTTTATAACATGTGTAGAATAATAAAGCTTGTTTAAAAGCTTTCTAGATAAATTACGGCAGTCAAGAAGACTTGTGTGAAGATTTAAAGCAAATTATCAAAAAACAAACATTATATTTGGTATGTTATTTGAAAAAGGAGCAGAAACTGGAATATAAAACCTACAATAATCACTTATCTACTTTCTCATTTTTTAGACCTTTTTTTAAAAAAAAATTTTTTTGATTTTCTTACTGTTATATGAGGAAAACATAACGAAGGAATGGAAACGTAGGAATGAGACAAAAGAAAAGGGAAATAAGGAGGGAGGAGATATGGAGAGACAAGGTTATAGAAGAAACACATTGATAACATAAACATCAACTGTCAAGTGAAACATTTTAGATCACTGAGAATTAACACCTCCTGACACTGTTTGCATTTCACTGCATATATGTGAAACCATTCTTTCATCTTTTTCCTGAACGGCAGCAGAAATCACAGCAAAGTTCAGACACATATCCCACCTGTGCACAGAACTTGGACTTGGCTACAGCGATGATGAGCTTCACCACAGGGGATATCTGGGACTGCAGAGGAGTTACCATATGGATCACAGTGGTGAACTGCTGCGATGGGCTCTTACCTGCACAAACATACCCATACTTCACAAACAGCTGTCATGTGTAAACTGCATTTAGGCTCTTAAAACAACAACAACAACACAAAAAAACCCAAAACACAGATTTGTGCAGATGTAGCTCTCCATAAAGCTCCATCACGGTTAACTGGACACAGAGTGCTTCACGCTGCACCCGTCATCCATCTTTGTGACAGCATATATACCCCCTGGTTCAGATGGCTGACCATGAGTAAACATGTCTAATCCAAGAGTGAACAGTTTGCTTTGAGTCATTTGCAATTGAGTAAAAGTACTCAATTGCAAATGATGCTGATTTGTTTCTATAATGGGTATTTCTGTTTCTACAACACTTGTTAGATACTCTCTTGCATTTTACCAAAACAAACAAATGAACCAAACAGAACAAAAAGAGAAGCAGCAAAGCAGAATGAATTGAGGCTTCTTTGACAAATGGTATTCAGAAAAGAGTGGGATGGGAAGAGTTGTAATTTTGAGAACCTTATTCTCCCTGTGGCAAACCTGTGTCAGAAAAATGTATTGATATAATAAAACACGAGCTTCTTAATACATCTTCTGTTTCAAAATAGATTGATCTATTATTGTCAAATATTACAGGATTTAATTCACATTAATGTTATTAAGATGGCTGAGAATATAGAAAACATACACTGTTTTTGCACTGTAAACTTTGCTGCATTCATAATCACTGCAAACATTATCTGACTAATATTAAATCGTTCCACAAGGCTTTCATGGGGCAAGAAATGATCAGAAATATCACACAAACAGCAACAAATTGTAGTCTGTGTAAATACTGATGGTGATTTTCTTCTTCTTAATCTGATTAGCAAATAAATTGTGTAAACTGTGAATATTTGGCAGCTGTGAGCTGTGTAATTAGTCTAAATACCCTAATAATCTCACAACAGCACTTTGTAATACACTCTAGTATGCGAGGACGCATTCTAATCAACTGGCCATTTATAATTATTACATTATTATAAATTATTATAAATTAATGTTTCATAATTGAACATATGAAACAAAGAGGTTCATAATGAAGAAAAATAAAAATATAACATTAAAGTTCTGTGAAAAGCAGAGGTTCCAGGAAACACTAGCTAATACAACCTCAATTCCAAAAAGGCTGAATAACAAAATGCAATGGTTTGTCATAAACACACATTTTGACATTTTCACAATAAACAGTGTTATAGAAATGCATTTGCTTCCTTCCTGATTTCTTTTTGTGTGTGTATATTTCTCACACTTTCACATTTGGAATCGTCAAGCAAATTTAAGGCAAGATGACCTACGTATGATAGTTTTTAAACAATTTGATCTATAAAGGAAAAAGATTGTTTAAACCTACCTCGCCCGGGTGAAAACCTAATTGGCCCCCAAACATAATAACAACTTGTGCTGCTCTTGGCAGGAAGGACTGCAATTAAGCATTTGCGATAACTGTCAGTGAGTCCTCTACATGTATTTTTGTCTACTCTAAGATGCTCTTTTTATACCCCATCATGTTACTGACTTGTTGCCAATAAACCTAATTAGAATCACAATGTTCCTCCTGCTCTTTCTTTTTAGTATCACTTCCTATTCCAGCCTTTCCAGCTCTAATTTTAACTTTTTTGAAGTTGTTATATTTTACAAAGATTCTCATCCTCTGTTTTGCAATTCAAAATAATGGAATCCATCCATCAGTACTTATGCATGAGACATCTATAATTTAGCTTTTATTTAAGGTCATTTCAATAAGTTCCAATAACATTATTTGACAGAGTGAAAATCTTCCATCATTTTAAAGGTACTGGGTGTTAACATAGATTTTTGTTCTCTTTTACATGTTTAGCATGTTTACCAAGTGATCACATGGAATTTATTTGCTGTCGTTTCCTTCACTTCAAGAAGACCAAAAACTCTAAATTGCAGCAAAACTGCTTCTATTCTATTTTTACACACTGCCAGAAAGTAATTACAAAAAGTTAGATATCCCATGTGAGCAGCTAAAATGAGGATTGCAAAAATCTATAATAGATAAATGGGCAGGTAGATGTGGAAACACACACACAGAAACACTGAACACTCAGAGCAGCCAAAGAAGGCCAGGACTGCAGGCACATGGCATGGCAAGTGTTGGGTGCATTTGGGAATAGGGGAAAACACTTCCTCATGGATAAGTGCAGCCAGAGTGCTCTTTAGTGTTGCTCTATCCATCTCTCTGACACTGGGCCCCCTGACCAGCCATCTCAGGTGGGCTTAGTGGTATTTATGGAAGCATGAGCTCTGCCCTTGTGGGGGTCACATAAATAGGGTTAAACCTTCTGTTTCTTGAAAATAGCTAAGCCATGTTAATTTCTGTTAAACGGCATGTTTCCGTTTTTTTTAGTATCAAAACCCTGTAAACATTGAAACATTCAGTCATAGAACAGAATGGAAGCTCTCTGAAATCAGATCATAAGGGGACATAAAGGACCTTACTCAAGTCTGAAGTTGAGAAGTTAACTTTGGAGGGATTTTGTAATTCTTAACAAATAATCAATTTCATAAAACAAGATAAGATGCAGTTAATTGCCTAGATGGATAGATTTGTTCTGGGTTCAAAAGCTGCAGATGCATACTACATAGAAAAAGAATAAAATAGAATACAATAAATTAACATGTACACAATTCAGCTCTCACACAATGCAAGATTTTACACCAAATATAATAATAATATTATTTCATGATTTAATATTAAACATGAAATTTAAAATTGTAGGTGTAGGTACAGTATATGCATAATTCATAGAGGCAGACTAGCATCCTTGATGTGCTTTTGTTGTCTTTTTAAGACCAAGACTTTTAAAAAAAATTGGTGAAATTTTCTTTTTAACTATTGCAATAAAGTCTATACTGGGATTTCGTCAATGATGCCAAGTTGATTAAAGAAAAGGAAACAGAAGAAGAAGTGGCCAGAGATGCATAGGAGGAAACAATGGTACTTAATGGCCAGTCTTACTGCAGCATTACTGCAGTTCTAGCAAGGTAACAGCTTAGGATATCAGAAGCGTTTCTGTTTACATTGTGGACAATATGGATTTAACGCAGAAGGAGAAATCTACTGTTATGACTGTGACAAGAATCTGACAGAGTTTTTAGTCTAGTAAAGAGGCATTGCACTGATCATTGGACTAAATGCTCTTAAAATGGCATGCATGGCAGCTGTGCGACCAATCTGCGCAGCACTGATAGCAAGGTCAAAATCTGATACTGACGCCTTGCCATAGTCCAAAAGTGAGCACACATATCTTAAACTTCTTGAAACACAAATAGCAAATAGTCCTAAATACACTACGGTCTAGTGTTACTTGGAAAAATCAGAGCCTTGAGCCAGGAGTTTTACGCAACCAGTACCTTAGTGGTGTCTTGAGAGCAACTTTGCAACTCAGTTCTCATCTAGTACACTGGGACTAACTGACTTTGACAAAGCATTTGCTGATTTCAACTATATGTATAATTTAAAAGACAGAAAATCAGCATACATCAAATTTTCTCCCATCTTTAGTCACACTTTTATACTGACATGTCCTGCAAGCCGATCTGAAACTCAACACCATTAAAAAAAACTACAAATGTCAAACGAGCTATAAAATAGATGCTATATATTGGAACAGTATTGCTCTGATACATCAATTTCTAGAATATTAACACAACCTTCTTTTGTTTAAATAATTTGAAGAAGCTGCAGAGCACAGATGACTGGACTCCTTTTCACACACTAAAATAAAACTGTAACTTGAGGCATCTGATCGCGATGTCTTACTTGTCCCAAGGCCGCTATGTATTGACATTAAGCCAAACTTTTTTAAACTATCAGGCCCAAGTTGCAACAGCTTTGCCATGAAAACTTATAGGAAGGTATCAGAGTGAGACCGTCTTATACACGGCGCTGACGAAAAGCTATTCCCCCAGCAGCAGCGCCGGTGATGGCGGCAGCAAAAATAGTGATTTACTGCAGAGGTGTAAACAAAACTGCTCCATCTTTGGTTCTCTTCTCTCTTCCTTCTAACCCTTGTGTCCACAATTCCTCAGAGAAAGACAAACATCGATCTGAGTTACAGCCTCAGACTACTGAGAGTCTCTCTGGTCTGCACACCCACATAAACATGCACATATAGAAGCCTTATTTCTTTCCCTGCAGCTTCAAGTTTCTGAACTATGCCCCAACAGGAGTCTTGCAAAATTTAACGTATACATTTTAAAAACAATATTGCAGATTTTTATTACAGCTGCCGTTGTTAACCACTTATCTGACCTGTCATAAGTCATGCTGCTTGTACATTCACTGTTTTAGGCTCTATAGACAGCAGTTTCTTGCACAGTTTAGGCAGCCAATGAAGTCCAAGTTGACTGGATTTGAAATTTGTTGGCAAACACATCCTCATTTTACAATTTTTTTACTCAGTGATATGGTCATTGTGTTCAGAGGCGAGAACTTTCAGAAAAACACAGGAATTGTCACAGAAACTTCTCTGTCACTGATCAAGGCTTTATGATACTGACAGCATCTGTTGAGCCTTCCTGGCTGTCAGTGACAATTCTGATATTTCCCTGAAAGAAAAGGGAATGTTTTGGATTCCAACAAAAAAGAAAATGTGGCCACGTAATCGTTGTTTGCATGATGTGTCCTCCAGCTGTTAATATGATTGTGCCAAGGAGAACACTTAATGAAAACAAATAACAGAAAAACTGCGGCCATGCATCACAGCCCGGATTCAGTAATTATCATATATGTATCAAACTTGAGTTTATTGTCTGTGTCACAGGAAGTGGCATGCAATAAACTGAGTGACCTTTAGGCACCTTGAGACATTCAAGGGTATTTGTTTAAATCCTGTAAATCGCGAGCTGGATCTGCAGCAAACCTGACTTTTCCCCAGCACATGCACCACACTGTGGTTCATGTTTTGTGCCTCCTCTGACAAAATGTACTCATCACTACTGAGCAGAAACACCCCACAACCCTTCTTGTTTTGAGGAAACCACACAGGTCAGGAACAGTGCACAGCCCTCATCAAAGTTGCTGTGATCCTGACCTGCTTATTTCTCCAACGTGGTAAATCTAAGTGATCCTTCTCTTATTGGCAAGTACACTGCATTCCAGTTATTCACCTGTGCTGCAGCTAAGTCATAAAACAACAACCTATACCATCTGTGCTACACTGAAATTACTCTTACGGAAAGCTTATGTACTCACCCAGTAGAGCATAGTAAAAAGGAAACTGGGCGGCGTCAGTTGAGTACTGAGGGAGTGCATACAGACCACCAGGTAGGGAATTCCACAACAAACGGTTTCTGGATATAAGGGAGTCCACGCGGTCCTGGATGATCTGGATGAAGCAGAGAGGTAAAGCAGAAAGGAGGATGTGAAAAAGAAGAAAAAGATCAGGGAAACTTGTATTTTTTTTTTCAGTCAAACTGAAAAATCAATTGCCTGAAATTGCCCCCTTAACTCCGCCACCTAACAACAGACATGTACTAATATTTGAAACTTAAAATGACAGCTTTTTAGGTTATGTTAGGTGCTTTGAGAGGTCTCGAAGAGAGGAACATCTTTGCAGACCCAAGACACTTCATCCTGTGGAGCAACTCAATCCCAACATCAGCAGTCCATTAGTGAGTTAGCTAACACGATCCATCTGTCTTGTTACCGGAGGTTGGGTGAGCTGGTTGAATGTTGTGACAGTGAGCCAAGAGGATGTAATGCAAGAGTAATGGAGCTGTTGATCCTAGCCAATTGGTTGGTTGCTACTAAAAATTGTATTTATTTATTTTTGCAAATTATATAGTGACATAAAAATCCTTGAATTTCATTTCGGGTTGTTTCTTCATAAATGGCATATGAGCTGTCTATATTTTTGACTTTTACATGCATATTTTAAATTTTTTGCATGACTAATAATGGACTATAAACCATTCAAAAGTAGAGATATACCTAAGTAGTTTTGACTTATTGTGAAACTTAAAAAACACATTTTTAATTTAAAAAACAAACAAACTTTTTAATCATATTTCTTTGTATTTAGATCAAAACAGTGGAGGACACAGGGAAGGGGAATTGACACTTACATCCAGCTCTTAACAGCCACACACACACACACACACACACACACATATATGCCTACACACCCACCTCCTTACACCAACTGTCAGGCTCGCAGTATGTGGGACACTACGGTTATCAGCCACGCTTCATTTCACCCATTTAGCCTGGTGGCATGCTGGCTCTGACTTTTTAGCACATCTGGCCAACAGTATACAGCTGTCAGCGGTCTCCTGTCTAATTTCATACCCTGCTAGCACTGGGCATTTGGTGGAATTACCAAGGTCTTGTTTGTGCTCAAAAAAAAAAATGCTGCAATTTGAGGACACTTTGTATTATTAAGGTAAACATGAAGGCAAACATAAATTATAGTTGTAGGGCTTGGTGATGAAATTATCAGTCATTTTACAAATACATGGGTCCTTATTCCTGGTGTTTGATAGATGGCATTGATGCAAACATTTTAATATACACGGCATTAAATTGGCTCAAACAGACAAATGTGTGACGTTATTACAGGCATGAGATCTTTCATTTCAATTGCATATGCCGTACTTTCAGTTCACTGTATCATTTTTCTACTTTACATATGCATATGAAGTAGAAAATTATACACATAACAGGAGGCAAATTCTGAAAGCAAAAGTTGGAAAATAATAAGGAAAATAAAAAGGTACTTTTAAGTACAAGGTAGTAGCTGTTTGAAACTCTTCAGGGATGGTTAGGCGTGCTTCATATTTTGAAAGTTTTGAAAGTTGATACCTTAATTGCTCATTTGTGCAATCAAAGCATTCAACTGAGCTATAGAATTAAAAAGGGAGTCATTATTTTATGACTAATAACAGAAAATAACTGTGCCAGCATTAAAAATTAATGGCTTTTCGGTCTGTTAAACTTTCTTTCTATTTGTACAAATTCAAAGAGGTAAGATATAAAATCAATAAGAATGATAAAGCCAATTTTCTTAGTCTTAATAAAGCCTAAATATGTGCAAAAAGATCTACCTGTATACCTGTGCTTCAAACTTACTTTGTGAAAAAGAATGGAGATTCCACCTTTAAACTTGCATTCAGTGTAACTTCAGCAATTAAATCAGACAACAAACTGGCCTACACAACAACCACAGTCCTCACCTAGTAATAATATTTTTACACACATTAAAAAAAATTAAGTCGAAAAAGTTAGTCTTTCTTTGTTGGTGTAATGATTGTAATAATAGTATTTATGTTATCGCTATGATGATAATTGTGATAATTATGATATTAGTATTCATGGTGGACGTGATAAATTAAAACAAACTGTGGGCTTTAGAAAGATCATAGCAATCATACTGATGTTTATGTAATGATACCTATGATTCTTCTGCTGATGTTGGTGATAAAAAGGATTATTATCCTCTGTGTCTGTGTTCAGAGATGATACAAAGCGCAAATGGTCCCTGAGGTCTGAATCGAGGTTGTAAGGAAATGAATTTCTTTTAAAACAAAAAAAAGAAAAAGAAAAAAAGGAAGACTAGGATGGCTTTTGTGGTACATGGCAATGACACAGGTTCATTTCTGTACATCAGCTGGTTAGGTCATTTAATGAGCCAGCCTGTGGGTTTCTAGCCTTGAGAGCGGGCATGAACGCCCACTCACATACTGCAGCCTCTTAAACCTGTAGGCTGCCAGACAGCATGGTCCTCCTTCACACTTGGTGCTTCACAACTGGCACTTCACGACGCCTATGTTTTCATTTCAGGCAACAAAATGCTGGTTTCCATCTTCAATATTTCTTTTCTTTTCTCAAAGATTGTCAGGTTAGGTTAAAATAAAACCTGAACTCCATGTAACGTTTTCTAGGTTAACCTTGCTGAATAGTCCACCAGAGATTTTATGAGCACTTTTCACACATAGCAAGAGGTTTTCTTTTCTGTTTGTCACTGATTAGAACTGATAAGTCACACACAATCTAGACTACCATTAGATACAGAAGGACTCCTGCTAAATATATGTAACTGTAACAAGTCTGATGACAGTGAAGAAAATGAACATTAAGTACTAGCTGGTGCCAAATCAAAGGGAAAGAGGGGCAGTAGCTTTGAGAGTTGAAAAAAGGATAAGTTCTATATAAAAATGTTATATGCCAATGGTGTATCAGCGGCTTTCTCACATGATGCTAAGGGTTTATTGCAGAAAAACACAGTTTTATGAAGAAAAAACAACAACAAAAAGTCAAACTGTAACCCTGATCTCAAAACAAACTTTGAGCATGCCAAATCACCCCCAGTAACTTTGATATACCTTCACTGAGTGTTTGAACACTGCATTGCCGAGCTGCTTCTGAGTGGAAATGTATGAATATGGAGCAGAAAAAGTACTGCAAAAGAGAGGGCACATTCAGCTAACCTTCTTTGGATAAAAAAAAAAATACTGACAACTGGAGAAAGAAATCTTTCAAAAGTTTGTCTTTGGGAGGTGATGCATAGCCAGCGGCAATGTATAGTACAGAACAAGCTATAGCAGTTTGACTGACTAAATGCAACTCTCCTGATGAAAATAAATCCACAACTCCCATTAAGACAATGTTTTGCAAGCTTACCTCAAGAGTTGTTAAGACTATTTTGGCTATGGAGGAGAAGTAGGCGTCCCAGAGGAACTGAGTTTGCTGGCGGAGAGCCAAGATCCTGTCATGGCCCACGGACCGGGTAATGGAGGGAACCTGTGGAAAAAATAGACAAAGAAGATCAAGATGACAGTGAGACAGATTATATTATGCTAGATTTTTAAACAATGCTGAGTGAAAGATGAGAATCGGCGGAAGGCAAATAGGGTAGAGGAAGCATAAATAATTTGTGGACATGCAGAAAAGATTAAGGGAGATTTTCCCCTCAAGACTCTTCCACCACATCTTACTTTGTACTCACCTCCATTGATAGTGTTTCAACTAAACCACCTGCTATTCAGCTCCAGTTCTGTATTCACCTGAGAGTTAATTCATCTAAGTGTATGCTTGGAATATATATATATATATATATATATATATGTACTTTTTTATATAGATGAGTTTGATGAGCTCTCCAAAGCTAAAAGATATTTAAGCTTTAGTTTAGAATTACACAAAACAGTTAATCAGCTTATCATAGATGTTACATTACCTCAACAACTTATTGATCATTGTTAATTTATTTTTTCCTGGAACAGAAATGAAGGGGAATGAAAAAGCCAAGTGCCAGCAACCGTTGCTGATAGCTAAAACCCATAAGAACAGCCCATGATCTCACTGGTCCCAGCACACACTAACATACAAAACATGAGCAGCTGGCTTGTGAATTGCCTGAGTGGCACCTTTAGGGAGAGACAGTGAAAGCCTAAAATTAAGGAACACCATGATCCTGACTTGGGAGCTAAACAACCGGATATCCCAGGGAGATGGTGCAGGATGTTGTCTTGATGTCCAGCTTGGAAAACAACAAAGTACTACAAGATGAGATCAGACATAACCATACATGCTCCATTGAGCTTGACAATAAAACAGTCAAGGGAATATTCCAGCCAGTGTTTCTAAAGACCCTCATCGGCCCTTAAGAGATGGGGGCGTATTTGAAGCCCAAGAACTGTTTGGTGTTTCGGCCCCATGGACAAGAAATCTCCCGTCAATAAACATTAGAGTGCCAACTGGTTAGACTTGGCCAATGAAAAGGCCACTATAATGTGGGGAAATAATGAGCGATGGTGATAATCAGTTTTCCCGAAACACTCGTCATTTTCCATGAGGGTGTTGAGGATTTTTATTTAAAAGAGTCCCAAGCCACTTGGCTCTATCGGTCATGCTTTGACCAGGGAGCTCTCATCTTACAGTGATCTGTGAAGCCTAACGAGGCGACTCCGACTGACAGTCATCCTGTCTGGAATTTCTTCAACTGATATTTGTCACTGAAATATACCAATTTCCACATGCATTATGTGTCCAATAATATCTTCATCCCCTCTGCGTCAAGGCGAAATGATCCCTTCATTCATTTAAATGAGACCACTGAATTGACAGGAGTGCTGATACAGTGGGTGTTGGCAAAAAAACAAACTGTGGGGCTGACAAGCAAAAACACTAAAAGATAATATAATTGAATGAATTGAAAAAGTAAACGTGTACATTCTATATCATGCTAATACTTTTGAGTTTTCATCCATTTCTTTCCATTTATTGTTTGGATTTAAACAGGTTTCATTTTTGCCTGGGTTTCTTTGGTTTACTGTACTATTGATTTTTGCATGCTTCATTTTGCTAAAAATGATATATTCAGTTTACTTTGCAACAAAAGTTGCAATTGTTTGCCTTTGAAACTGCATTGCTGGGCTGTCCAATTAGCCTTCACACCCATATTCATATTTTTTAAACTGGTCTTATTAAATTGCTTTTATGTCATATGACTACAGTGATGCTGCTTGCATTTTAATTTATCTATTTTTTTTATGCTTCGCTCTTTTCACACAAGAATAATAAATAAACACGACTGGATTTCATCTCTGACAGCCCTGAAAATATTTTGGGTAGCGACAGATTTACCAAGCAGGGTGAATTAGTGTGAGGCTGCACTCACAAGACTGCATTGATAGTAGTGGTTTGCAGTCAACTGCCTCCTACAACCCTTAGTAAATATTTTTTGTATGATTCATTTAAATGCTTTCCTCCCATAATTTTGCTCTCTGAAATCGAAGGATCTGCAAATACATGCTGTATGCAAGGCCAGCTGCAAAAATAGCTGTGTCCATGCTTACCACTGTGCTTCTACAGTAAGTACAGATAACACAAGTATTTTTTTTTTAATGCTTGGACAGAGCATTAGTAAATCTGGCCCACAGAGTGATGACAAAATTGCATCAAAAATGAAAGAGTCACAGATTATGTGGCAGAGTGTTGATAATTAAGGGTAAAAACCAAAAAAAGCACTCACAGTACAGAGGGGCTCTGTTGCTTATCCACTTTATAACAAAATTGTATTCTAATTGCTTTTTCATTTACTTTTAAAAGATATTTATTTCACATTTGTGTGATCTGAAAACCCCACATTAATCATGAACTCAGGAAAAGCGGTTGCGCCGGTGTTGACGTCACTGGGATCTGCCTACAGCAGCACAAGCTTTAATTGTTCAGCTCTCTGAGGTGGAATATAAACAACACCAATCAAATCAGCCCCATTCTCTTTCCCTCGATTGACTCTAATAGTGTTTATGTTTCTCAGCAGGGGGGCGTTTTGTGTGTGTGTGTGTGTGTGTGTGCGTTGTGTATTTCCCCTCTCCATGGAGAGAACAGAAACTCTACATATTAAACAGCCAGGTATTGCTGTGCTCAGTGATGTAATTGAAAGTAATGAGATTCAACTCTCTCAGCAGGTGTTACAGCTTCAGTGTTGCATGAGTTCCTGTGTGTGTGTGCGCGTGTGTATTTGTGTGTGTACACGCGCATGCACATGTGTAGGTAGTTTCTAGTGAACGAAAAAAAAAAAGGGAAAAAAAAGGGAGAAACCAATTAGGGCAAGCATACGGAATTTCTTTACCAACCAAAAACTAAAATATATTCTGGTTAAATATTTCACTGATTATCGCCTTCTTTATAGATGTTGTCATCTGGACCAAAACAATTAAATGAATAAATTCTGGATGTTTTAATGCTTCTTAAAGGTGTTAAGCTGACCGTTGAATAAACCACAGAACCCGAGGCTAAAGAATCCTTTCTGATATCTACTTTCCAGAAAATGATTTTATTCTTGCCACTCTGCCGACTGCCTCAGTGCTGAAAGAAAGAAATGAAACGCCTTCAAGGTGTCCTCAACATCTATAAATGTGTGTTGAATGAAAAGCGGAAACAACCTGTATTGCTGTATCCCTTTTAAATTAATTCATTAATGTTTATTTATGTAACATTATATTAAACTGCTCAACTGGTGTTTATTTAAAACTGACAGGAAATATGCAGATGACTTTATTTCCTCTAAAAAAAATGAGTTCCTGTCTTTTATCAGGAATTTGGATGACATAGATGATTTTCTGGAAAAGAAAGGTGGTTTTTGAACCACCACGATGTATACAGTTAGGTCCGTGACAATGACAAAGTTTTTGTAGTTTTATTTCTGAGTGATATATTTGCACTGGATCTTTCAATATGAGGAGAAACTGACATAAGTAAAGGGGGCAACTATTTGCCTGAAAAAACCTTTTGGCTCTCGGAGGAGGCGGACGCACTTTTTCTCCTCTCCCTTATCTTCCCTGCTTAGTTCTTATGTCCTTGTCTAGTCTCGTGTTTTTTGTATTACTTTTCCCTGGAACACACTCTCACAGTCTGTTTCTAAAACCTAAAGAGAATTATGGATTTGATCAACTGGTCTCTGAATGCTATTGACACCCTTTTCTCAAGGAGAAGTCTGGGAGGGACTTTCCCTGCCGGATACACGATGGACGGGTGGCAGAAATGGAGGATCGTGTGCCTGGCGGGACTGTCGATCGAGGACGCTGAAGATATCTACCTATTCGGAACCATGATAAGAGGGTTCTTGCTGATCGGAGCTGGCTTGACCCTGACTTATCAGAGAATTAAGAAAGGGGAACCGGCTGTTCAAACCCCCCCCCAAGGCTGCCCGCTGGGATTGAAACGATGGTACGAGCCGCGACTTCTCAGAACGGGCTCAATGAAAGCAGCATGGTTAAGACCTTGGAGACGCTTACAGCTGCCGTGAATACTCAGAATAACACCTCTGAGCGTATATTGGGTTACATCAAGGAGAGGCCTGCTCAGAATAACACCTTTGAGCGAAAGTTGGATTACATCGTAGAACAGCTCACTGCAGTCGTGAGGTTTCAGAATCTGCTCTCTGAGCAAAAGAATGACAACACCACGGAACTGCAGGTTGATAACATCATGGAGAAACTTGCGGGTCTCCAACGGTAGATTGAGAGACCAGTGTCGGAGTGTTAAAGAACAGCTTTGAAATTCTCATGAGTTGTCGCAAAGAAAAATTACCATCATAATCCGGCTACCCCTTCGGCGCCAGCTGTGGGCTCAAGGCTGGAGCCGAACAAAAACTCCCTGATCACGACTGTGTTGAGTCTGTTCCTTCCCATTCCATGCAAGGCCACCTGGGTTGGCTGGAAGACTGTTTACTTAGCCTGGCAGGGCGAAGGACACTGTCTCAGCTGAACTATGGACACGCACACACATACATATACTGATACTGATAAGCACTCACTGACGCATCACCCTCCCTACCCCGGATCCAACGCCACCTCCAACCCTTACCTCCCCTCTGATGTGGACATCGGGTCAGCTGGAGGCGCAGTCGAATATTGCAGCGGTACCAGATCAGATGTACACACTGGAACACTTTCCCATGTTGCTTGTCTGTGTTTATTGTGCTATGGTGTGTTGATATCTGTGCATTCCTGTATTATCCTTCTGTATTACACATTTCGATGTTTTTTTTCCTCGCTACCTAGCGTGACCTGTCTCCCCAATGTGATGTTTGTATTGTATGTACAATACAAACATCACAAGGTCTGTCATCTCGGTTGTGGGCAAAAGACCTGCAACTGACAAATAAAGCCTATCTCATCTCATCTCAAAATAAACCTATAAGAGAGATTGCAAAATATGTAAGATTGGTTCAGTCGACCATCTATGACATTCTTAAGAAGAATGAATGCAGTGAAGCTCAGCGACACCAAAAGGCCCGCAAGCTCACAGAAAACAACTAAAGTGCATGATGACAGAATAGTTTGAAAGAAAAAAGGTTGATAATTGTAAAGGTCTACAAACAAGAGATGCCTTGTAAAGATATGGTTTACAACAAAGTGCAAAAATCTGATAACAAGAATTGAAAAGGACCACATTAGATTTACCAACAAATAAATAAATAATCATTAGATAGATGAAACCAAGGTTTACCTGTATCAGAATCATGAGAAGAGAAAAATATGAAAAATGAGAGGAACGGCTGAGGATCTGAAGCAAACATCATTTGTCAAACATGGTGGAGGCAGTACAAATGAAGAAAACACTTTGGGAAGGCACTTACTGCATCCAAGTATTAAATGTCTTATGTATGTCTTATGGTCACTGATTCAGTCTCTTCCCTTCCTACCTTTGATTCTGTGCTTAGCGTGGCAGCAAAACAACAAGAACCACCGATTTGGTGAACAACGAAGAGAAACAACCCAACCTTCCCCAGTTTGAAATGTTAAAATGTGCCTCAGGTTGCATGATGCTTGTTCTGAAGTGACATGTATGTGACAGTCCCTTTATATGCCACTGTGGTTCATCACTCATGCATTTCATCTATTATCCTGAAAGTCTTGGAAATTAGCTGTGTTTATACCTGCCCCTGTCATTTCCTCACATGTCTGCATTAAAGCAAGGGAAATTAATCGAAAAATGTTTGCTTTGTTTGGATCAGTAATGAATGTGAACACCCTCAGTGTCGGAGGCTATGTCAAAACAAATCTCTCACTTCACACATTATCTTAACCAACAATTAGCATGCCTTTGCATGATGGTTTTATTTTAAGCAAATAAACCAAATAACAAAACCTCTGACAAGATTAGTGCACTATTGTGAGTCTCAGTAATGCTTAATAAGGAAAAAAGCTTGGTATGTTTCATCTAAAAGCCACGTTTTTTTAAGATGGCCTGTCTGCTATTGTGTGTTTCACATAGAAAAACCACAAACACACTAATTAAAAGCAAAAAGCCTACACATGCTTACTTCTGGACTTGCTGTCCAGGTGGTGGTACAGGTCACTGAGGCAACACATGGTAACACAGAGTTATTACAGTAAGTAAATATCACAAGCTCTACCCACCGCTGTAATGAAAGAGAACAGAAGGTGATCCAATTGTCGAATCATCTATTTTAGATAAAAATAGTTCAGAGCGTAGGTGTGAGTGTCTGTGCATGTCACTGCTGTCATAAAGCATATGATTTTAAAAAAGCCACATGATTGCAATGAGATTTTTAAATTTGGTACATATCGATGATGTGCTGACAGGTCACACTTTTATCAACACTTTTTCGCATCCATAACCTAACAATCACCATTTGATTACACAGACACCAAGTGCCAGATGCTATATTTCCACATTATATTTCTATTTGGACTTCTCTGGAAAAAGTCTCTGAAGCAAAAATGATTCACTGCACTATCATGGAGGCGGCATGATGGCGCAGTGGTTAGCACTGAGATCTCATAGCAAGACGTTTTGGGGTTTAAACTGGCTGATCAGTCCTGTGTGGAGCTTGCACATTCTCCTTGCGCTTCTCTTGGTTTTTGATGGCTTTCTTCCACAGTCCAAAGACATATATGTTGGCATACTTACAGCAGGTCAACTGCAGATCCTAAATGAGCTGTAGGTGTAAAAAGCACAATGTGTTCAGGGTGTTGCCACATTTACCGGCTCCAGCCTCTGTGTGAACCTAATTGGATTAGTTACTAGGAAAATGGATAGAGCTTTGGTTTTATATTCAAAAGCTCACAGTCAAATTAAATTCATTTAAAATTACAGCATTTCGCTTTATACTTTATGTCATCCATGCCTGTGAATTGTGAGTGAAATGACAGCCATTTGAATTAATTTAGAGAAAATATACTCAATGAGAAAAAAGCTTTTTCCATGAAGTTTAGTGTAAAGAACGGATTAATCAGAGGCCCCTCAGAGGCAGGACCTTCCACAGCTGTCGGAGCAGGAAGCAATAGCAGGTTACCTTTGCTAACAAGTTCTTAATGAATACACATTAGTAGGCCACTGGTATGGGATTGTAGGAGGCTGCAGATGCAGGCAAGAATAAGTCAGTTTAAGGCTTTAAAATAAGCAATAAAATCCTGAAATCTATTCTACAAGTCACAGATAGCAAGTCATTAAAAAGGCTATTTGATAAACAGTATCACAAACAGACACTTGATCTTTGAGGAATATTAAGTGCATACTTAGGATCTATTTAGTTTTTGACATGACTGCGTGCCCACTTGCAGGTAAGCCTTTCAGAGAGGCAGGAGTGTGTTGAGGAAATATTACACATTTTGTCAGTTTCTTCCAGGCTTCTCAAACTGAATACATGATTTGCATAAAAGTGCCTAAACTGAAATCAAGCTGATTAAACTCATATGGCAGCTTTGTTTGGCAAAGTCAGCCTATTCATGCTTCAGGGCCACAAATCTGTTTCCACGCATTTCTGATCTATGCATTGTGCTTGAAGTTTGAATCAGCCCCAGCTGGATTCTTATGGGTTCCCATGGGGATTCTGAGCCAGAGAGGACAATTATAACTGGGAAGATGGTGGCATTTCACCATCCAGACACTGAATTAGCCGATGCTGAAAGGGCACCGTTTATCTTTTGTTGGTGTAAAGTGCAAGGAAAGTTTGTCCTCTTTATCCAGGTTACATGGTGGTGGCTGTTGCTAACTTTGAGCCATTTACATATTTATATGTAAAAAAAATTATATATATATAATATGTATAATTTTTTTCTTCTGCATCTGTTCATACTATTGCTGGAAAACTCATACATCTGCTGAAGATCTAATTTCATTTCCCCATCATTTAATTTTCCAGTGTTTTACAGTACCTGTAATAGCAGCCTCTCATCGCCAATGATGGCAGCTTTCCTCCAGTCAATTACTTCAGAGAAGGGAAGCTCCCAGCCATTACTTAGAATAACTGGAATACATGCAGCCTGTGAGGAAATACAAATGAAAAATTAAAAACAAACATGAAGAAAGAGGCACTACAAGCAGAGGCCATTCTATTTTGAGCTGAAGTGGAAAATAAGTCAGAAATTTACTGTTGTTAACTTTGTGGGCAACCATGGGACTCCTAGCGTAGCTTAAATAACACTCTCTCACACACATTTGCAAATTGGATTTGTAGAAAGATATCAGCTGAGCAAACAAGGGGTGTGACATTAATTCACATTAAAGTTTTTGGGTGTGATTGTGAACTTGTCCAGTTGTTCACCTCAGCAGGGCTGTCCTCCCTGTAAGAAATAGGTTAAATAAAGGCTAAAGAAAACATTAACTTGAAACTGTTTACAAGATTTAGTAGATAAAGTGAAGGAGAAAAATCACAGTGATGCATAAAGTGTAAGCAGAATTTTAAAGTAGAGCACTGGGATGGATCAGCTTTTGGTCTTTTTTTTGTAAGGCATTTATCTTCTTTGGTAGTTTCCCTTTAATGAGACACTTTCAACACGTTCCAAATAAGTCTTTCAGAAACAAATGGAGTTGCCAAAAAGATTAAGGACAAAATAAACTGTATTTATTTATTTTTGCTGTATGCCTCAATATTTAGAGGGTTCATTTGTGTGACTTGATTCATAGGGAGCTGATTTCATTTCCCACAGGAGCTCTGTGCGTTGCTCTAAATTCATTTTATGAATAAGAATAACTTTATTAATCCCCAAAGGGAAATTGCTTTGTAACAGTTGTTCAAAATTGTGGAAGTTGTAAAATTATACAACTTCAGCAGAAAGAAAATAAATTTTACAACTAGATGGAACGAAGGACCTCCCATGACGTTCGCTGGAGCAGTTAGTCATTCTCAAAACGGTTCATCGTTCGTGTTTAATCGATGAGAGTTGATTGTGCACTCCTCTGCACTATTAAACTGTGTTTAAATGGAAGATACTCTATTTTCTGGCTAATTTGTTTCATTTCACATATTTTATGCATCATTTAAAGGCGTGTGGAGTTGTTTTATTATATTCTCTGCTAAGATTATTATAACAGCTTGAACAACTTTGCTTCACATGTTAGAAAGCAGTTCTAGAAAGCAGGTCTAGGCTCTTTAGACGCCGATCCATGACTGAAAATACATGGTATTGTGCGTTTTCCTATTCAGGTATGCTTGGGATCACTGTTTCCAGACATACTTTTTTGTCATCATAATTTCATTAATTTTAGCATGATCCCCAACACCAGTGGCTGAAATGCAGAACCTCCAGCACATTTTATAGATAGCTGTAGACACTGCTTTACCTGCTCCCTGACGATTTGAACCACATATTTCACATTTCAATTACTCCGAATACTTTTTGTCACTGATATGTAGAGTAGATGGACCAACTGAAGGGCTGGATGCATCTCTCGGGTCCTGCATCAGATCTTTTCTGTTTTTATTTTCTTTTTCTTGCTAGTATAAAAAGGCCTAACGATACAATTTAAAACGAGTTCTTTGCTAAGTTGCCTGTTACGTTTAGACCAAACCTGCTTAGCTGCCTTTTTTAATGCTTTAAGCATGTTTTTGCTTGTTAAGGGGCTTAACAAGCTAAAAACAAATTCCTACAAAAGTAGTCAGGTATAAGGCGATGTTTAGCACTGTTGCCTAACAGCAAGAAGGTTCCTGATTGTCAGGGTCCTGGGACTGGGCGACCCAGGACCCCTGGGCAGTCATGGACCTGTGTTATTGTTGTATATTTTGGTGTTGCTTCCCCTTCTCTGTGCTTGTGTATGTGTGTGTGTGTGTGGGTGGCTGAGCACTTGTTTATAGGCGGCGTCAGGCCTGGAGGGTGTGGGCCTGCAAGGGGACTGGCCACACCCGAAGCCACACACCTGCTGCTGATCAGGCCTCGTCGGGGGAGCTACTTAAGAGAGTCTTGGAGCTCCCACCGACGCGGGATCATTGCTTGGGACTCCACGTTAGTTACCCAGTTTAGGTTTTGGTCGTGTAGTGTATGCCTGCCATTGTCCAGTGTCCTGACTGCTGCCGCTATTGTTTCCCGCAGGAGGAGCGTGGAAGGTTTAAGGAGCAGCGAGCACCGGGATTGCAGACACGGGAGCAGAGAACACTTGGAGGACACGACACGGGAGTCTGGGGAAAAACACGGGGATTTATTGTTGTTTGATATCACCCTCTGTAAATAAACGCACTGCTTGAACTTTGAGCTCTGCGCCTGGGTCCTCCTTCCCCACACCCCCACGGTCTGCCAGCCAGACCGTGACACTGATCTTAATCTTTTTGTTTGGTGTCTGTGCCTGTGTAGGTTTTTCTCGAGGTACTACAGCTTCCTCTCCTAGTCCAAAATCGTGCTTGCTAGGTCTAATGAGTGGCTCTAAATTGGCAATTGATGTGAGGTAGAAGAAGCACTTCAAGCTTACATGGTAAAATGTTGCATGAATGTACATTTAAGTCTGGCCGGCTTATTTAAATAATAATA